CCGACTTTAGAGCTGACGACCCGCGCCAGTGTTCGAGACATATTATTTTTCACCAGCAACTAAAACCTATCTCAAATTATATCATTTGTAATAATATAAAATATACATTTAATTATTTGATGCGTTTTGTATTGAAGCAGAAGATATATTCTGAGTTTTTTTACGGATAAGATTCGATTTAAATTGCGGCACAGTATCAAATTATTATTTTTTTTAAATAAAATCGTAAGAATGAGGTATAAAAGCTTTGACAGATGACAGCAGACGCGTGGCGCTGCCGCTACCCACTCTTCTAAATTCGTGTATAAATTTATCGTTATCTCTGTCTTATCAAAGATCACGAGAGGGATGGCAATAGTTTTGAGCACAAGTGTTTTAGCAGTGGAATCTCGCGTTTAGGATAGCATAAAACAAACAAAGATGGTCAAAAGATTTTATTATACAAATATTACATTAAATATGTGAGCCGTATGACAGGGGCCGCATATTGTGCCTAGTCGTGAGCACGTCTGGTAGGGCTTAGGGTTTCTTTTCTTCTACGGCCGGCGTCTCGGGGCTCGGTGAGGGCGCAGGTTCTGCCACCGCTGACTTCACCTATAACATTTTTAATTTCCATTAATAATTTTTAAACGCTAACGTGTTAAGAAAATTTACTAACCATTTCTAAATATTGTCTCAATTATTCTGCAATTCATTGTAATTTAATGTTTATTATTCGGACGATTTTGCATTATTTTAACTTCATCATCATCAGCTCACTATACGTCCCCACCGAGGGGCTCGGAGCCTACAATAAGTTAAGGGTGATTAGGACATAGTCAACCACGCTGGCCCAGTGCGGGTTGGTTGACTTCACACATATCTTTGAATTACTTCTCAGATATGTGCAGGTTGCATCACGATGTTTTCCTTCACCGTAAGAACGTCGGATAAATGTACATATGTAAAATCGAAAATCGAAAAACACATTGCTACATGGCGGGATTCGAACCCAGGACCTGCAGATTGCAAGTCAAGTGCTTGAACACTGAGCCACCGACGAACTTAAGACTAGTTAATTTAAGAAATATGTGTCAATGTTAACTATCCAGACTTTATAGCGGTTCGCAATTTCGTACACGATTACGCGCAGAATAAAAATTTTAAGTATCTGTGAAACATGACCCCAAGCTAACCGACAGCTGTCAAAATGTTTGAATATTCAATAGTACCTCTGGTGCGGGGGGCGCGGGCTCCGCTGCTGCGGGGGAAGGCACTGGTGCCGCTACATCCTTCTTGTCCTCATCCGGCGTTGGCGCTGAACTGCTCAACTGTTACCAACATTATAAAATAAATCATCACACTAAAAAATATATATATATATATATATAACTTTATAGTTACCCCTCTTTTGGGCCACATTTCTCAAATCGAACTTATTGAATGGAAAAATATGTATAGCTACTTAAATTACAATTAATTTTTTTGCAGTTAAATATAAAAATAAATATATTTCAAATGCAACGATATTAGGAAGTCAATAATTATATTTATTATCATGAGCTCACTATACGTCCCCACCGAGGGGCTCGGAGCCTACCCTAAGTTAAGGGTGATTAGGCCATTGTCAACCACGCTGGCCAAGTGCGGGTTGGATAACTTCACACATATCTTATTATAATTAAATTTACTTGTGATAAAATAATAGTTTAATGAAATAATAAATTTAATAAAATATTATACATAATAAAGACAATTAAAAATTTTCCATCTTTAAGAAATAATAAATTAATTAATTATTTAAAATTTACCTGTACAGCAACGAAGGCGAACAAGACGATAACTACAAACAACTTCATATTTCTGCACTGAATTGTTACCGCGGGATGACAGACAGTAAATTTTCGCGCCGGGACCGCGGTCTTTTATGACCGAGCACCGGAAGACGTATCAAAACAATTTCTGAACGACAATCGATAATGACGCCTGTTTATAAAACATCGCTGCAGCTGAAACAATTAAAATCGTTATCGTTAAATAGCTTGTTTCAGATTTGTCGCGCCACGAGTACGCATAGTATTGTGACGTCATCATCGCATAACCTATTATTCCCTTTACCAAGTATTCAGGACATTGATGTTACGGGATCTATAAATGGATAGTTCATTGCTTGAGAATCATAGCTTAAGTTTCCTTCCTACTTAAACGAGCCTGTTGAAGTTCCTGATAATTGTTTCTATCTCTATTAATAGTTCGAATACCACCATCGTTACAAACCGCCACTAAAGCGGGAAAAGGGCAAAAATCAAATATGCACAAAATACAACGGTTTATAGCCTGTCCATGAATAGAGTTCAGGGATCCTGGAGGAAAAAAATAATAACTCTCATCTGTTTCATTGTACGGTGTCAGCTCTTCGATTGTGATCCAGACGGAAAATTGCCCATACATTTATAATTGCGTATTCGCTATTCCTACTTTTGTACATGAAACTCTAAGACTTACCCCATTTTGTCAGTGAGGATTATAACAAATTAAAAACATTCAATTACAGATTCAAAATAATGTATTTCTTAATGTAAACATAGGTTTAAAATCTTATACATCATTCAATAGTGCGTAGAATTGTAATTACTAATGCAGTCGACACGGCCTTTGCAAATAAGTACACCGTGTAATGTAAAAATGTACCGACCCACAATGTTGTACTAAAATACATATGTAATTAAATAATTGATTTGACTGAAATATTATAAAAGAATGCAATGTTTTTATGATATATTACAGTGCGATTGTAACTAGTCACCCTCAACTTCGTTTACTAGAAATTAAAAAATATTAATTCCAGCTTGATACAGAAAAAGGGTCTTGACAGACAGACGGACGGGCAACAAAGTGATCCTATAAGGGTTCCGTTTTTTTTCTATGAGGTACGGAACCCTAAAAACTAAATAGACTATCCGTTATACCAGTCTGTAATATACCTCCGTTCCAATAGATTTCCTAGGGTTGGTAAAACACCCGGTGGGATTTATTATAGCGGGAAATAATGTTAAGGGTTGACAACCTAAAGAAACAAATTAGCTACAGGGAAAGCTTAGGAACCTCTGGTTTAGTTTTTTCGAAGTGCAAACCTTCTTTTTATTGCCTGTGGAATAAAATCAGAAATTTGATATCCGTATCTCCTTATATTTATAAAATCATGTTAATTAAAAAAAAAATTAAGACGTTATCAATTAATGATTGTTTAAAATGCATAAAATTACATCAACCGGAAAACGTCTAATTGTGAACGAGAAAACAATTAATAACATTCACCCCGTAACAAATTCATTAGCAAATGGAAAAATTATGCATTTCTCATTTCGTAACATTGATTTATGTTTACATTTTTATTACACCCAGAACGTGTAGTTGACGTAAACAAACAATTACTAGTACTAAATACTAAGGCAGTACGAGAGATTAATTAAATGAAATTAGAACTTTTTTTACCACAAACAACAACATAGAGAGCTCCTATCGATACCCGGACTTTGTCTCCAAAAATGGCAATAAAAAACCAGGAAAACAACCCTATCTATGTTTTTGTACTCGCAAGTTCATCTGTGTGTTTACTTAGTCTATAAACACTTGAACTATAGCAAAATTTTTTCTTTTCCATTTTGAAAAAGAAACGGTTTTATTATGTTTTTGCTCATGTTTGCATGCCTAGTAGAAACTCGTAAACCTAGTAAACGTGCATATTTTCCAGTATATGTTCATTTGCAATGGTCACTTATATTACTGTTATCTCGTCATGCATTTTACTTTTTCTATAAATCAATACGAATAGATTCCTCTAACATTTTAATAGCAAATATAAATCAGGAGCAAATCATGTTAAAAATCGCGTATCACGACGAACTTTTTCTTAATAAAACCAAAAAAATAAAATTTTTAATTTTGAACTTTTTTAAGCTAATTCTGCGATTAAAATTACCTAAATGCAATTTTTTAAATATTATTTCATGCGGAAAAGGGAAGAACGCCTACACTGGAAGACATTGGGTAACATTAAGTATGTATGTGATTATGGTGCAAGCTTCGGTGGGGTAGTGGTTAAGCAGTGGACTAACCAGTCCTGCTATAGTGAAACATTCGATGAAAATGTACCTTACTTCTTAGACATGATCTTAATAAATATTATTTACTCGTAATAACGCAAGTCTTATCTTTTTTTGTATTTGACAGAACTGGGAAATTACTGAACGAAGCTAAATTTTTGAACGCGTCAATTTCGTGACGTTGGCAATCTGTCATTGAGAAAATAATGTTGCCATATCATATGAATATTACATTGTTTTTAGGTACTGAACAATGGAAAAAAAATCGTACAAAAATTTTTCAGAGGCACCAGCCGTTCTAAGTTTTTTTTTGTAAAAACAGTTCTTATACGCATGTTCAGCAATAAATGGTGATAAGACAGATAGATATGTCATTATTCAAGTAACAAGATATAAATTTAAGTAATCCTTGTACAGTTGTCCAAAAAAATTATTTAGATGATTTTTAATAATTAAACATTTGGCTAATTGTCTTTTTGTAATGGCAACATTAAGCTGACATTTTGCCAGCTCGGTTCGATTTCGTTTGGCAGATGTAATATAATGATGTATTGATTGAAATTTAATGAAATATTGTGGTGTATGAATGAAGTAACTTGTGTTTATCATAACATCTTGGAGTTTATTTTTGTGTTAAACATTTCGTGCGTTTACGATAAAATATGGCATCCCGCGGTGGTGTAATGGTAACAGGAACGAACGGAGCTGATTTCGAACATCGGGAAAAAATAGCGATACAGTATCAATTAAGGTAAGAGTTAGAATTATTTATATGTAGTCGGAGCTGCTATAGAAATACTCAGTGCTGTGGTAATGTGACAACGACATCGCATTCAGAGTTCCGTCAAAGTATTTTTAGACATAAGCAAAAGGTGGGACATTTCGCGCCACTAATTTAAATCAATGTATTAGTAATTCAATAGGAAAATGTCATTTAAATATATTCATTACTGTTTTATCAATAAAAACAATAAATGTTTCTACATGGTTTTAAATGACTGCCTTCAATAAGTTTTTTGATTATTTTAAACGTTCTATTTCAGTGCACTGAATAAATCAAGACTTAAATACTGCGTGTTCTTTCAACATGTGCTGTTCATTGTAATGGTGGCCAAGCTCTCCGCTGATATACTTGACAAACTTGATATTTTCATACTGGAAATTGAAGAACTGCAAATACCACCGGTTTGAAACATTTTTATTTCTTTAACTTATTAAAATAACTATAGTGGGCTTCCACTGTCATAAGTCTTATATGAAAGCATATTGTTTACCCTCTCAGTATCTTCAAGTAGAATAGAGGCAATAATATGCTTTTTACAATTACTACATATAGGACATTTGTGTTAACATTGCACAAATATTAGTATAAAATTAGTTTATATGAATGGATGTTTGCTAGAAAATACCACCAGAAAAACAGTATGGATGATGAAATTACATATATGTGTAGAACACTGTCGGGAAAAAAATATAGGTAACTTATCAAGTTTTCTTCAAATTCCACACAGACAAAGTTGCAGGCAAAAGCTAATAACTAATGTATAGTCTTTAACATCTAAATATGTATTTGCAGCCCCTTTGGTGGGAGTACATCTGGTGCCTGTCACTACTCCTGTCTTTCCTCGCCCTGGCAGCTATAAAACGAAACAACATTACAAATTTACGAAGATATATGTATGGGATAGTTTTCTTAGGCTTCGGTCCACTGTTATATGGCCTTGTTTACTACTGCGGAGATGTTTGGAGGTACTTAACAAAAGATGAAGATGAAGACACCTCAGAAATGGATATTGAGTTATGGCAGGTTAGTACAAACTTTAAAATGTCTGAAATTTCGCAACAGTTTATTTACAATTAGTTAAAATTATTCACTTTAGTGATATAGCATATAGAAAAATGTGATTAAATTACCCTTGTCATTATCTTTTATAGAATAGTTTTGAACTATGTTTTAAACGGACATTTTGGTGTCAGAAACCCACGGTTAATAGTTTAAAGGACAAAAGTTTTGAGCTTAAAACATTTTTTTTAAATAGAAAAGCATTGAAATATAAAATCAGCGCCATCTATGTTTAATTAACAGACTCTGAAATCTCACGTTTTGTTTCCAAAATGATATCATAGATGTCACTATTTTATAAAAATATTCTTATTGAACTTAAGTAATATTATTTTTAGTGTAATAGTTGTATTGTAAGTTATTGTTGTGTTTGCAGGACTTCCCGTACGGCTTGTTGTGGTATGCATTTATATTTCTCGCGTGTCAAGTACATTTCTTCCAATTGTACTTCTGTACTGCGCTGCTGAAGGCGTGGCGGGCGCGGGGAGCGCTCAGGAAGTCTGACTAAATATTATTAAGTTTTCTTTTTTATATCTATGGAGTTGTCACTATTGTTCATTGTTGAATTTAGATTATTTTATGGACAAATTGTTACAAAGTTAAACTAGACACGTGATTTTATTTAGGAAAACAGTGGAAAATAATAATCATAGTAATTAATTTTGATGTTTACGTTTTGTGTGTAACCGATAATTTGGGACTTATGTTAGTTTATAATCGGACTAGGAGTCAAATTGTGAAGCTGTCAGTTTACAATATGCCTAGTAAGATAAAAAAAGTTCACACTCTTAGTATATCGTACGAGGTACTTGTTTTTTTTTAGTATCTCTATCCACTCCAAATAGTTTAAAAAGTGTATTGTAAATATCATATGTCGAAAAAAAAATATCTATTGTAATTTATTGAACTAGAAAGGTTGTTTTTATTACAGTTTGTCTGTTTTTATGTAACATGTTTTGAGATCTTAAGAAAGAATGAGTTTTATTTAATGAAAAAAGGGGTAAATTGAATTTGTAGACTACTGATTTGTTTTTCCGAACGACTTTATTTAATTTTTGTCACTGCCATTGAAATGTACAATTTTCATTTGTGTTTATAATAAAAATGTACATAAATTCGTGTCATTTTTAATAAATTATTTCTTGAAATTGTCACAATTAAAAAAAATCAATAAATAGTAATTAAAACTTGTTTGGTTAAGTGTTTATTTAGATTTGAAAATTCCATAATTAAGATATAAAAGAATAATCAATAAAAATATCACGTCTAAATATACTTTCTCATTTTGATATGTTTTTATTACAATGATTTTCTCTTCATGACTTTCGACATAGAATTAGTAAGAAATTAAAAATATATTTTACAATAAAAGAATCTATATTAAAAAAAAACAATATTTTAATAAACATTAAGGTAAGTCGCCTTTAAAAAAAACTAGGATCTAAAAATTAAAAAAAAAACATGACAGCTACAGTTCGAAAACGACCTTGTGACCTTTTGACGTTAGCTGTCATAATTTAGTTTGACACATGCTCGCCGCAGAGTCGGATATTCTTGTAGGTCTTAATTAAAGTAACTTGTAAATAAAGTGGTTTTATCAATTTTATTTGTGTTTAAAGTTTTCGCCCACATGTGGTTGTTTTTTTATTGAATAAATATATTTTGAATTTATCAACGGTTTTTTTTTATCTAACCTCAATTATACAGGTGTCCCAACAGGTTACGTACATAGGAAGGGAGATGATAGAGGTGGTCACAAGGGTCACCAGAAAAATAAAATAAAAATTCCCCTCTGCGTATTACAAAAAAAAATGGCATTTTTTAAAAAGTAAAAAAATTTACACCTTCTGGGGCAATTTAAATTTTCTTTAAAAATCTTTGTTAGTTGTATTTTTTTTTATTTCATATTGATAAAGGGTTATTGACGATAACATAATAGCTTTTTTTTAAATGTAGCAATATTTGTAGGTTACAAAATTGCCCCAGAAGGTGTAAAATTTTTAAGTTTTAAAAAAATGCCCTTGTATTTCATCAAAAATGTTATATGCATTTGAATCGCAAAACAGTGTCCCGGTACAATATAATAAAAATTTAATGTACATTTAACAAATCTGGTTCATTATAACCTTGGCTCCTTAACAAGGTTTCTCTATTAAAGGAGCCAATGACTTCCTATAAGTTAAACTGCGGCTGTACAATTTTTATAAGTTGAGTAATAATTTTATAATGTAAAGAGAACAAACAATAGTAACAAGAAATTACATCAAAAAAGCTAAAGTAGTTAAAAATTAAGTGTAAAATAAACGTTTAAGTATACCAATGTGCGAACGGGGGTATAGTGTGTGTGTGTGTATGTGAGGGTTTTATGATTACGTACATAATAACTAAAGTTATCAAACAAAATATTCGTATTGATAACATGTTTAGCGCTGCTATCTTTATGAGGATATTAATATATTATCATACTTATATAGATTTAATTCAGTTTTACAATTAGGTTCATCCCCAAAAATCTTAACAAATAACATAATATCGCGGCTGTGGCGATAAAAGTAGATATACAATGACGTCATTACACTCAATCAATCATTTCAAGCGATGCAATTAATCTGAGATAATGATAATAATGGCGACTCTTATCATATAACATAAGTACATTTGAAATCCAATAAATACATAATTAAGATTCCTGAAATGATTTTGGCATTTTAATAATTATAGATATTAATTATAAAAGATAATTTTTGACCAGAATTCGATTAACTCTTTGTTTAATTATAAAGTAAGGTGTTACGTCGCGTAATATTATTTAATATGATCCTGTAAAAAGGGAATATATTTGCTTATAAAATTTTTTACAATATCTAAAAATAAAATAAACAAGTATTATTCATAATATTAAATTTAATTACTTTTTTATTTTATATTCTCCAAGTTGGTACTGTCTTGAGGTGTAAAAACATATTGCCCTCTCTCTTATTGTCATTGAAAAAACAAAGACAACTAATATGTCTTACACGAGTGTTAAGACAGAAGAATTTCATGCTTAGGAGTATGCAGAGCCATCTAGTGTCAGTCTTGTTCATCGGCGATGGTAACGTCATCGTCGGAGGCGTCCTCCGCGGAAGGCGGGCTGCCGCTGTCCGCAGCATCCGGCGCACAACGACGCCACTTCGCACGCCGATTTTGAAACCAAGTTTTCACCTGAACATTAAATTAATCGAATGTAAATATTAGGTATGTGGCAAACGAGTAACGAGGACGTCCCCTAACAACGATTTTTTGTATTGTAAACGGCAAATTTACACGTATGTGATTGAACTGATGACTTCCTTTTAATGTAACCGTTAGTAGCAAAAAATTACACGTTAGAAAAGGTATTTAAGGTTATACGTCTATGCGATTGCCATTTTCATGATTATTGTCTCCGTGTTGTTTCACGCAGGTACAAAAGATTTCAAGATTTATTACAGGCTGAGTAGTATAACTGACCTGTCTATCGCTAAGTCTAAGTGATGCGGCGAGCGCTCGTCTCTCGTCAGGGCTGAGGTACTTGCTGGCACCAAACCTACGCTCGAGAGCTGCTGTCTGTGCGGCGCTAAACCGCACCTGCCCGCCTTTGCGCCGCCCGCCCACACCCCACCATGGGCTGCAGCAACCGGGCGCCACTAAAGACAAACATGATGTTACACATGTCTACTGGTAACAAAGTTTTGAAATGCTTATAGTCAAATACTAAAGGGTATCGGTCTAGCTGTCGTGGATTCGGATCCCGCCCTTCGTCGAATGCAATGAATAAAACTATTATTCATTAATAGTATTAAACTTCATGCTTATTTGAAGTGTTTGCAAATATTACTAAATTACAAATTGACCGCGACTTTGTTCGCGCGGAATTAAAAAAATCTAGTCATAAAGTAGCCTACGTTACCTGTAACTTTAAGGAGCCTGCCAATGCATATATACGAACAATCAAATCTTCCCAATTTATTATGAGTAGAATAGATTAACGAAAAATTCTATATATTTTTGCTAAAAATCTTATAGAAGAAACATACATCGAGTCTTCATTCAACTTCATCTCAATTACGTTTTTTCCCCGTATGTATTTATGTCGTATATCAGTGTTTTCATGGTAAAGCTCGCGGTAACGGAATTGTTTGTTTTCTTGAAGGACGTGAGTAAAAATCCGTGCTAGTTTTAAACTTGTATCAATATACAATGGTAATCATTATCAGTACGTGGAATGGGTCTGGCCTAATTGAGTTGTTCACATTATCTGTTATCTGGCAATCAATTGATAACATATTACGAGGACTTGTATCACCCAAAATTACTTTAATTTCTTATCAACGGATCTACGATTGCTTGTTAATGTTATAGTATACAATAACTATTAAATTGATTCATTTATATTTGTTAGTCATTCGCACTCACAAATCACTCTTAATAATATTATAAATGCGAATGTTTGGATGAATGTTTGTTAGAAAATAAATCTAGAATGACTGCATGGATCTCGATGCAATTTGGCATGTAGAATATAGCGTAGAAGAACACAAAGGCTACTAATTAAGATTCTTTCCGTGCGGATGGAGTCGCCGGCGACAGCTAATGATAGAACGATTGATCATCAAAGCTGTAGATGTAGCGAAAAGCTTTCGTCATACAAAACTTTGTTATAAAATCTACATACTGAGTCTGTTTATTATTACTTCTACCGCTTTTCATGTTCTAAACAGAGTTGTAGTTGCAAATCTTACTAGTATAAATGTAAAAGATCTAAGGAATGCTAGTTAGTGTGTAATATCAAAAAAGCTTAATGGATTAAAATGTAATTTAGAATAATGATAAATACAATGCAGAGACATTTTTTGACAATGGTAGAGCCCGCAACCACTTGTTGGGTGCGAGAATGGGTCAGGTCGGCAGGTGCATGATCACACAGAAGACAGGCCCTAAACACCCTTTTCTTATAAGGAAATAATGGAAAGGGGATGTGGATTTGGAAGTCAACCAACTTGCATTTAGCCAGCGTGCAGCAGCGGGTAGGATCCGAGCCCCTCAATGGGGACGTATAGTGAGCTGATGATGATGACGATGATTTTATTCAGAAAATATGTATAATCTTCGTGGGAATTTTTCTATGTAAAGAATAAGTTTTTATATTACGCAGAGGAAGTTGCGTGGTATAAAGCAATGGTGTCATGTGATCGCGATGTAACATAACGCCACTTATTAAGATAGCGGCGATTAAGTGATAACATACTTTAGCTTACAAGTTAACTTTGATAATATTGATTGAGGAAGTTAATCAGGTACCGCATTTATCTAAAGCTTTTAACAATCATTGTTTACTTGCGGCTGTTTGATTTTGTAACGTATACCGTACGGTACTAGAATTCGGTACGTAATACCGATTGGGTATGATACGGTACGGAAGGAGTTTCTACAGTCTAGATGAGGAGGCAGGAAGGGTCTTTTGAACCTTTCGTTGAAAGTTCCATAGTAATTGATGATTTTAATTTCGTCTTTCGTGGCTACCCATGGTATTATAATACGAACTGCGGGGTTAGACAAAATGCATTCGCTCAATGTCGATCGAATTTCAAAAATGTATAGAACTGTCAATAACTTTCGATAAGTCATGTGATTGTCGCGCGTCAGTTTCATTATATCTTTAATTCGGTATGGAATCGCTTCGAATCGAATGTCAAGAATGGACGGATATATTTGCAAAATATATTTTCCACGGAAATAAAACATATTTAATGGTGATTTAGTAACATATAGGTTTAGTAAATAACTAAATTTCCTATCAGTTTAATATCACTGATATGTTGTATACAAATATTAGTTACACTTTGCTAATCTCTTTATCTATCTTAAAGTAAATAGCAAAAAGTAATTTTGTTATTTTTTTATTCGATAGCACTATCTGGTACGCGAGGAATGGATTAATATTGAACGAAATGAAGTAACTCGGTTTGATATATCCGGAATAGTTTTGTGTACCAGATACAAAGTTACAAGTTATATAATTATATGAAAGAAGGATTTGATAACGTAAGTAAATGCAGGTAGACCGAGGAAAGTCAGCCAAAAACGCCAAGTAGGCTCCTTAAACCAAGCAAGTCATATAATTGTGTCGACTTTTACAGACTACTTTAACAAACATCTGTATAATATAGAAATCACAGACAGCTAAGATGTGCATAGAGGAAGAGGAAACAATGTATAAAAAAATACAACACTGCCCGATACTGTCCATCTACAGGGTTAGGTATCTCGACCCCTCGGTGACCTGCCCTCAAGCAAAATACGCGCAAGACGGCATGTGGACTTGCGGAAATCCTTGGCCCTACCACTAATTAACGGTTTGATTGTTGATTGTTGAATGATAATTAATATAAGATTTGTTTACCGTAACCCTACCGTAGGTTACTGGTACGGTTTCTGAGTTATGTTGCGTTTTTCTCAGAAGCCAACGGTTAGAGCTCCTGTGATTTAGAACAGTCTCTATGAAGTTGAGAAAAGCATATTATTCACAGAATGACATAACTAATTTTTTATAATAAGTGTCCGTAAACAATAAAATAATCTTATCTCTATCCAGTGTCATCAATATCAAGCTTTAATTTATCACGCAACATAGCTAATAATAATAATTTAAATTATAATATTACAAAAATATAGACAGACAATGATAATGTACAGAATTTGAAGCTTAGAGGGCCTAGCACGACTATTTGCGACATGCGTTTTCTTAATGTCTTCGACAAAATATGTCACAGTATGCAATATCAAAATATGCAAAAGATGAATGATGGTAAGGACGCTGTACAAACTATACACAATATATCGATGACGTTACGAAAACTTAAGAATATTCGTGATAGAGCCTCTGTTGACAATTACATTGAACAACTTTAAACACTTTGAAAGCAATTCTTCGGGTTATTACGCGATGTATAAATCTTAATGAATAGTTAAAATAAACAGTTGGTACCTCTATCAAATCCGTAAGTATGTCGTATACTGTAGGGGTGTGCCATCAGTCTGGTGGCGGCGAGCTGACTGCGGAACAGGTGGTCCGTCATGGCAGGCTCACTGTAGTAGCTGGGTGGAGGCCGTGATTCCACAGAATAGCTCCCTTTAACACGGTACGGCCAGGGTAGACCTGCCTTCATCGGCAGCGGGTACAATGGATACGTATTTCTTCTCACTTCCACATTTAAGCTCACTTTGGACAATTCTATATCTGACTTATCAACATCTGCGAGCCGAGTCGTCACTTCATCTATAGGTTGCGCTTTACTCGTACATGTTAAAGGCTGTTTAGGTTCGTTGCTCAAGTTTCTGTGAGGCTTCTTAGAGTCCTTGAGGATGTCCTCGATGAGAAAGGATTTCCTATGTTTGCAGGCGCACATGTCGACGTCCCGGCCGGTACTGCCGAATTCATTATCAGTGTTATCGTGGCGAGTGTAATTGATGTGTACGACACGCCTAATCGTCAGCTGATAGCGAAGCACTTTGCTGCACGCTTTTTAAGGGCATATTGACAGGGAGGAGATTAGCACTGGTTGTAGAGACAGGCTGATAGTGCTGCCAATCCCATCCCCCCGAGGATCATGTTATTAATTTGCCAATAAATACTCCATGTGTACTCAGAGTTTTATCAAATGTAATGAAATCAGGGGAATAGTTAACTCGTGCTATCAACTCGCCAGGCGAGTTTACTTTCATATGACATAAATCGTAATGGGATTTAATGCGAAAATTATTTATGTCGATTTAACTGTCTTGACACATTATACCTTTAAAGTGTGCAGACAAAATTGCCATTGATTACTATAGTTTTCATTGTTCCTGTTGTATTTATCTGATATTGAATTATACAGAAAAGATTCGGGCTCATTGTTCAGCGGCGCAATAACATCATCATCAAAGCTAAACCTCGTCCGCACATACAAACTTGTCACAGATTAATTATCCTGCAGACCGAGCTGTGTGGTAATAAAATATGAAAGCGCCAGCTTTAAAATAAAAAATGCCTGTAAAAATTTCCTATTTTTTATATCATAAGGTGGCAAACGAGCGAGTTGCTACCTGAAATCGCTGAAATAGCGAAGTGACCGTTGCCCATAGACATACGCAATTGCACATGCGTTGCCTATCTTTAATCGACGGAGGAGAGGATGTACAGAAAGAAAATATTTTCTCTTTCCATGCATCCTCTCATCCGGAAAGTCCACTTCCACTTCTCACCCTTTCCTTATAAGAAAAAGGGTAGGAAGGGAAAGAGGACTAAATTAAGCCTCCGGACTTGTTTATAATTATAATAAATTAACAAAGTATGAAGTAAGATAATGCATATTTATTAATATAATATTCTACTGCATACCAATAATGGTGTTATTTTATAATACAAAGAAAATTAATGTTATTAACAAACAAGTTAAAGAAATAAAAATTGTAAATTTTTTTGCAAGTAGTATTTTTCTAAGTTGTTTGCTAATTCGACAATGTCTAAGATATGCTTACTCTGTACCCTGACCAGACCTGTGTCTACTCCAATGGATTCCTCTTCACAAACAAAGGGGTGAATTCGCAAGCGCACCTTCCCTCTCCACTGTGCTCACCATCCTATATCATATTTTCCAGGAAAAATAAGATTTAGTAATTTAAAAAATAAATACCGTAGAATCTTAGAACTTGGTAGACATATTTTTTGGTATATTATATTTATGTATATTTTTATTTTGATATTTTCTAATCGACGTAAGTAGTTTTTTTTGTGAAAATAATATTATTTTCAACTGTAAGTCAAAAAGTTTTGTCACATTTTGAACCTATAATATTTATGAAATTCGTAATTTTGTAGTTTAATAATATTAAAACAGTCCACGTTTTTGTTAACTGTTGGTCACAATAGCGGAGCCCTCTTTGCTTCGTAATTAATGGGTGGAGTTTTTCTACCTTTTGTTACGGAAGGGCGGCTAATTGTCTCAAATTAATTGGACCCGCCGTATTTTTAAACCCTTTATTCCCTTTGTCTCGACGATTGAGTCGAACGCGGTTTCTGAGCACGCTCAAGTAGCTTTTATTACTGTGACAACAAGGGGCGATATTCCGTAGACTTTCCGACAATAGAGATGGGTCCTGTGTTGTTCGCTGTACGATTTGCGTTTAAAAGAGTTCCCAAATTGTCGAGTCACGAACGATTTGTGAATTCGGCGTTAATTGGTAATTTATAGTTCTGCCTGTTTGTTTGTTTTGTGGAGAGCAGATTGTCCGGTTCTGTACAAGTGTTCTTTGATGTTAAAATGACGGGATTCAAATTATGTAAAGTGGTTTAATTGGAAGACAATTTTTATAAGATTTTAATGTTTATATCCTACACATAATTTAAATGTTCTAAAATACTTTTAATCACTCAAATGACGTAATCGAATCGATATTTTATTCATTTAAATTTAATTCTAGTAAGTTACTCGACAGTAGGGACAAGGTTCTTACAACCATGATGGATCAAGTGAGCTAGCATGAGCCGGCGGGCGCGGGCTGCTCAGTCGCCATCAAGCCTGCCTCTATTTGCATATAATAAATTATCATCAAACCGGAACGCCGAGCTTTAGATAATCTACATGCTACAGAATCAATTAATCTATCCATTTATTACACTAACATAACACCGTGTAACCGATCCATAACTTCCTCGTGCGCGACGGTGAATGTAACTGTTCGCTATCCATTAATCACTCAGTGGACGTAGCTTACAAATTGTCGCATATTAACGCGGCTTTGTACGCTGAAATACAAACAGTATCGTTGTGTGGGAACAGGATTTCGGGGTCATGAATCAGTGGCGAGCTGAATCGATATAGATAATGGCCGATTACTTAGAGTGAGTTGACAGCCCTACTGTGTATAGGGATGTTCCTTTTATAGTTTTAGACATCGATAAGTAATTTGTTTAAAGTAATTTACAAATACAGCATTCACAATTATATCAAATATTATAATATAATAATAATATAAGCAGTAAATATTTAAATATTAGGGCTAAGATTGTAACTGCGGACAGCCATCCTACAGATGTTGCTTGGTAACCTCTAATCCTAGTAGGATTATTTATATTTAAACACTTTACTAGAAATTGTTCTCACCATAAACGGCATCATACTTTATAGCTTGCTCGATTATTTTAATTGCTTACCATACTGAGATGTAGAAAAACTATTTATTCTCAATCCCTTTATGTTATTTAACGATTATAAATACATAAAGATACTTGTAATTATTTAACTTTATACCTACAAAACTTACATGACTTGAGAATTATTGTTTACTTATTGGCTGAAATGTTGCGCTTTTATCGTAATAATAGTAAAATAAGTTGTCTTCTCATTATTTAAAACCATAACGTTCAACTAATGCGCCATAAATTAATACAAAAATATTGTGTGGTCTGTTAAATGAATGAGGTTAAAATTTTCATTAGGGAGCACAAATAAAATGTTAACTAACGTTAGAGTTAATAAAAAAATTACTACATCTCTTAAAAGTATTGTTTTTAACTACAAAGTGAACTGAGTTTTGGTTCTTACAGTAATAAATTAAATGTTTATACACATACTAGAGATACCTTCAAACAAACATTCATCCATCCATCTATCTAAATAGTAGCATTTATAATATTAGTAAGTTATAACTGCCGACAGCGACAGTTAATTAGTAGCCTATGTGTCGGACGGGTCGACGCAGCGTGGGCAGGCCTCCCGCAAGATGGACCGATGACCTGGTCAAGGTCGCGAGTGCGTCCTGGATGCAGGTGGCACAAGAGGAGGAGGCCTATGCCCATCAGTGGGCGTCTCATAGCTGACAGGAAGGAATAACAGTAATATGTTTCATCTACATCCAACTGTTGTATTTATTATATATCTTTGTATAATTGAATTGTTACATGATATTGTTAAAATATTTTTTTTAATGATAATTATCAGTATATCGCAGACATATCAATACTTTGTGTTATCGATATAATTGATTGCACAATATGTGAACGTCACTATTGATATCTCTCACTAAGCGCTCTATTGATTTTAGGTCTATTTTTATTTGACATCGGCCCACCTGGACGTAAACCGGACTTTAACAAATGAACTTTATTCCTCTATTGATTTGCATTTCAATTGTTTATATGACTAATCGTTATATTAAAATTAATCAGTTATCTAAACCTTGTAAAATCTGGCTTTTGTTTCTGTGTTTTATACCTTACTTTCTTTTAATTCCTTCCAAATGATTGTTGAAGTCTTTTGAATAGAAATTATATTATGTTGACTAAATTAAAACAGAACAATGGTTTACTGGCGTAAATAATTTATGTTTATTTATAATATATTTACAGACAACAAAGTTCTTCTTCAACAACATACATTCTCTATTTAACCATATCTGTAGTCGTGGCTTTCAATTTCTTTTCGTTTTAAATACAAAACATTTTAGTGGTAAGCTGTAAAGGATAGTTGATGTTATAAGTTTTTAAAATAAATGCGTTACCTTTTGATTCTATAATCAACAATTTATGATCGCGTGGCTTTGTCTTCCATCATAACAATACACATAAATCTTTAGGAAGGAATTTAACCAGTTTTATTAACTGGCTTATTATGGAGAGAACGATGTCTCGGAGGGATGGAAGGGAAGGGGAGTGATTCATAAAATCGTTAATGACTTATTTTTATTCGAGGTTCAAGTTGACGCTTCAATAAAACTAGGCTCATACCGCGGCGTGCTGCGACCACAGGCTATAAAACTGTTTGTGCATTGAACACTTACGTTTCATATCGACTTCATTTATAACTACTTTAATTGTTATTACTTAATGTTTGGATGTAATTATTAATCAAAAAGGTTCACAAGTGGATTTTTATGTCACACAAAAGATTATAGAATTGAACTGAAGGCATTATATTTGGAGGGCTTACGAAATACTGATCTTTCCGAATTAAGAAAAAGCAATTAATAGCAAATATGCAACATGTTGTTGACCAAATTATATATAAAAGATAAGAGAAACTATATTGTATAGAACCGGTCACAATATTTTGTTACTTTATGAATATGCAAACGCGCGGAGAAACTTCACGCTAATCAATCCGACGTCATTTAAATAATGACCGCAATCAAATGTCAAAGGAATCAATATGGAGGATGGTTTATGGCTTATTTTATAGTCAATTAAATTCGTTTGAAAGGCAATGGATCGTTTTAGCATAAGATCTCAGCTCGCTATAAATTGATATCGAAAAGTCATTAAAAGACAAACCTTGAGAGACTCACTGCTGTACTCAGAGTCTAATTGGTCAGGGAGACACTTAGTTTAAATTAATCATACTACAATAAAGAAGACCAGTAAATAACTTTGAGAGCTGCAGAGAGATCCAATGGATATGTTTT